CCCACTCAAACCCTGTAACAGTTGTGTACATTCCAAAAAGAAACTGAGCTACTGGACATTGACTTGAGGTTTGTCACCAGTCAGTTATCACCAGCTCCCGTGACTGAGGTAGCCAAATAGCCGAGCAACAAATTGACCACACAGAAACTTATGCTAGACAGCAGATAAAAAACCCAAGCCAGCCAATTATGCTGGACTTTAGTGACTAAGACTACATTTACCTTTATGGATAATTGTTAAAAAATTATTAAAATAGATTTTTTTCAAAGGTATTTGTATTACTGACAGACCTAATTAACTCCTTAAATATGAGTGTGAAGAGAAAAAATGATAAATATCCTGTAGCCTATAAAAATACAACTTATTGCCTCATTAATTATTGCCAGCTAATATTTCAGAACTATAATATGCTAAAGTTAATATTCAGGCTTTAAAACAGGTGTATGTCTATTAACCAGACCTAGACAAACTGCTGATCTCATAATCCCTAAAGTAACTACTTTAAATATTATTCCTTGCTTATTCAATTTTGGCCTTTGTGGCTATGTCTTAAAACTTACAATATATAGATTTTCTTAATGTTTGACTTAAATTACATCCAGCTTCCTTCATGGTCAGATAAGTACTGATGAAAGGATGAGAACTAAGTAATGATGTTCTAGAAGACAATGTAATAAATAATGTGAGTGAGCCCTTTGCTCTATGGTTTATGGAGAGGCCTAAATGCCATAGCAATAAAAATGTCTGTTACTGTAGTCAAACACAATGCCTCCCAATAAAATTGGGAAAAGATTAAAAATCTTCTGGTGAGTGTTTGGCAAGGTAATAATAATCCAGATTATTGTGTTGACTGTTATGAAGATAATGTTTTCTACTAATTCTTTTTGTGTTTCAATAGCAGATTGTGATGACCTTGGACCAAGAGCCAAGTGACTGAAAGAAAATTTCCCAGTTACATTCTTTTTTTATATTAAGAAAGGGGGAATATGTGGGAGGCCAACCTTACGGGTGACTGAGTTACACTCCCCAGCTGGGTGCTGAGGCACTCAGTCACAGACATGGTGTGTCTTGCTACAGCCCCATGGGCGAAGCTATGCTCACCTGTTCCTTTGTAATATAACCCCTTGCCCTGTTTAGGATAGAATCTTCCATGGAAGTGCCTTTTGTGTGTCCCCTTCTCTTACTGTGCCCTTGGGTGTGGCCTACCCAGGTGTCAGTCAGCCTGCTGACAGTGGACATCATGAAGATAGACTCAGCTCCCTGAAACCTGACCCCTTGCCTCATTTGAATAGCTTCTCCTCAATAAAAGGGGTCAGCGCTGCGTGCTCTCGCTCTCTCTCTTTCTGCAGACCCTTAAGGTCAGAGGAGCCGTCACAGCAACCCCAAAGAAAAAGGTATTTGTGTCTCCTGTGTGGTTATTTCATGCAGCCCAGTCAGCCCAGCTCAACTAGAGTGACCCCTGAGCCTTTTAGTCGTGAGAACAGAAACCTGGCACTTGAATATTCATTTCATTTCACTTCCTGTGTAGGCCCAGGATTCTTCCTGTGCATGACTGATCAGGAATGGGTGGCCATGTGACTGCTTGACCAAGGCGTGTATGCAGGTGACATGAAGAGTGTTCTTCAACATGGTTACCTGGTCTCACCTGGCTCTTGCTCTGTAGTGGAAACCTATTAGAAAACCTCATCCCACTTGCTGCTGTGGTTACAACCCTACAACATACATATATGAACAGAACCTAGACCAATTTGCAACTTAAGTCTGAACTGTCCATCTGAACCTAGCTATATCCATTGAAGTACACTTGATCTCCAGACATAAGCATAAGAAAAAATGCTTCTGGTTTTAAGCCACTGAATTTTAGTAGTTATGTGAGATGAGACAATGTCATGATAAACAAAGCCAATACAAATCCTGGCTTATACCTGTTAGTATTTTATTTGCAATACTGCCATTTAAGCATTTGAAAACTTTATTCTATCTTTCAATTTTGAAATATTTTTTAAAATGAAAAATGAAGATGATAACTTGGTAGTCATCATAATCTCAACGCTACATTCATAAAGATATTACTACTTATCATTTTTGATTACTATAGTAAAAATTACAAATTAAACAGAATTTATGTCAGAAGTAGAAAATGTCCATTTTTATTTGGCATGAATTGAAAATGTGAATAATGATCTCTAGCTAAAGAGTTTTCAGGACTTGGGGGATGGGGAGATAGCTCAATTGGTAGAGTGCTTGCCTTGCATGCACAAGGCTCTGGGTTCAATCCCCAGCACAACAACAACAACAACAAAAAGAGTTTTCAGGACAAGAAAATTTTGTAGCAAATTTTTAGTAACATATAATAAAATTTTAACCTCTGGAAATAAAAAATTAATGCTATGTTATTATAAAAATTTTAAATGCATAAATTGAATACAAATAATTGGTGAATAATATTATAAAAGGGAAACCTTAGACTCACCTCAAATATAAATTAAAAAAATCTGAATTGTAATATAGCACATAGTATCTGAGTATGTATCAAGGTCATAAAAGGTAATAAATTATGACATATAACTAAAAATGGTTGCTGATAAGATTTTCAAATGAAGAATTTATATAACATTTGGGATATCCTTGATATGAAGATGTAACAATTATTAAGCAATTTCACCCTCATAACAATATTATGAATTCAGACTTCAAACAAACAAGACTGGAGTGGGATGCATTTCATGTGGGCATATTTTTCCCCTACCAAGAATCTTGGAAGGACTAACATTCTCATCTACATGGACAGATGGTCCACTTGGCTCTCCTACTCATCCTTGGGATAACAGTCTCACAGACTCAACTACCATCTGCATGGTGAAAACTCCCAACTCTTTCCTCTACATAACCAAGATCCAACATGACCTAAATATAAAAGATTAGCATCCAACAAATCAACAGTCTACCCCCAACTACATGATTTTTAACTTGGTCAATGGTATCATTATTCATTAGACTTCTCAAACATCCTGACATGTTTTCTTTCATCCTTCATGGACATCAAAGGCATGAAATTAGCCACCCTCAGTGCACCTGGGAAATGTATTTTGAATCAGTCTTTAAAGTGACACTTATTCCTGCTGTTGATCAGGCTATTCATAACCTCTTTCACTCAAAGGGGCTGGGTTGTGGCTCGGTGATAGAGCACTTGCCTAGCATGTGAGGCACTGATTCGATTCTCAGCATAAATAAATAAATTCTCATCTACATAAATAAAATAAAGGTCCATTGACGACTAAAAAATATATTAAAAAAAAGTTCCCATGACTATTGCTCATATGTATAATTCCTGGTTTAAAATATCAACCTTCACATTATAAACCCTCTAGACAATGAATAAAGTGAATGCTTCTCAATTCTGTCAGAGATGGTACCTAGATATTATTATTCTAGATGCGTAGGGGAGAAGTCAATTCATTACAAATAATGGTTGCTTTAAGAAATCCCCAGAAAATGGATGCTGGATGCAGTCTCAATTCCTTAGCATTCAATATAAGAATTTAAAAATGCTTCTCCAGTGTTTCCACTTATATCCCAAAATAAAATATATGCCAACTAAATTTGTGAATATCACTCATTAAGGAGCAATTATCGTTTTTTTCTCTGACTCTGTGATAGACATGTCATCTCCTGCATGCAGACTGTCCATACACCATATGAAGTTTTTATACACACAAACACACACACACACACTACACACTACACAAATTCCTTTACAACTTCCTTCTAAAAGTTTCTACATCACATGTATTTTCTTAAGAGTTCACCATCTGCATTGTTAGACTGTGAAGTCTATGAGAGAACGGATTCACCACATATAACCAGATTCTAACAGAGGAATTGAAATCCATATGGATAGAGAAGGAAAACAGATAACAGAATAAAACTGGATGGTGAGAAACCTTAGGAAGATGTGGGGAGAATACCAGATTTCCCAAGTGACATTGTGAGTAGCCCCTATTCAGCTTTAGGATAGTTTAGCCCATCCTCTGGAAAGATGGGGTCCAGTTTATCATACTTTCTGATTTTCTAGAAGAAACAAGAAATCGAGGGTAAATTATAAAATGTCCTCGTCTTTAAGCATTTGCAACCAAAAGAATTGGATAATAAGTTGAAGTGATCTACTGGAGAACTGTCGTAAGGAAATTCTCCCATGTAGTAAATACTTGAACATATTATAGTTCCAAAGCCCTAATTTGTACAGGGATAAATCAGAGATTCCAGAGCAGCACAATTTGGGCAGTATGTATCATACAGTAGTCTCTCCTGATCTGTGAGTCTTGCATGCCAGGACCCCCAACGGAGCCCTGAAACCAGGAGAGTAATGTATGCTATGTGTACTATGTTTTTTCTTATAAAATGCCGTACCTATGATAAACTTTAATTTGTAAATCGGGCACAGTCAAGAGATTATTTACAATTACTAATAATAAAATAGAAAAATATAGCTATATGGTATAATGAAAATTATGTGAATATGGTTTCCCTCTTTCTCACTCAAAATATCTTATTATCTTGTTCTGATCTGTCTTGTAGTGACACAAGATGAAACAATGTCTGTGTGACCAGATGAAGTTCCCTAAGTGACAGAGGCACCATGACATAGAATCAGTGTACTATGCAAGGGTTACGTAAACTCAAACTGTGGGAGTAGCTGCCCTGGTAACCAACTAATGGGTCAGTTACTAGTGGCACTCTTATCCAGTGAGAGTGCCCTGGAAGAGGGTATGTCACGTCCAGCTGGACCAGAGGATTGTGGCTTGAGATTTCATCACACTACTCCAAATGGCACACAAGTAAAAATTTAGCAACTGCATATTTCTGGAAAGTTTAATTTAATATTGTCAGGCCACAATTCACTTTGGAAAACTGAAACTACAGAAATTGAAACTAGAAAAAAGGAATCATTGGTAGCAACTTTATTAAAACTATCTCTATGTAACTGTGCTCTTTCTAAGAACTCAAAGACATCAACGTGGCCTTGTCAACATGACCTAGAACACCCATGGCCTGTAACACAGACCGAGGAGGGCTCTGGAGTGTCAGGCAATCAGACCTAGATGATAAGGCTTAGCATTCTGTTTAAAGCAGATAACACACGGTGTCACTATTCAGAAACTACCATGTTTAAGTGCTGCATACTTTGCTTGTTTTTATTTGACTACACATCTCTGCTGCTGCTTCGTTTTTTTGCCCTATTGAGTATGATCGATACTGACCCCCAGAGTAGTGACCATCACTCAGACTGAAGTTAGATATGTGAGCACATTACCTCTCTTTTGAGGTATCAGAGCACAATACTTATTCCATGTGTTTATGATAAGAAAATTATCTTCTTATGTTAGGAAACCAAGTCTTATAAACATTATGACTGTTCTTACCTCAAAATCAACATCTGAACAACAACTGCACACAACACAGGGACCGGTAATTTTCAGTACATCCTCTCTCTTCTCATTTTGAATTGTAAACTTGGGCAGACACGGGTGCCAGTTCTGAATAACGTAACCTATGGGTATCCCAGGAGGAGCTTGTACTTCTATCTACAAAAGCAAAAGAATATATAAAATGTGATAACCATCTTAATATCCAGGTTGAATGAAAGGGTGAAAATGCTTGCTGAACTCTTCACAGACTGCCCTGGCTATGGCACACGGACCTCTTGAAGGCAGCAGGGGCAACAGCAGCTGCTACATGCCAGTGGTCTGTGCAGGGTTATGACTTCTCGGCCCAAATTATCAAGAACCTTCAAGGTAAAAGGTCTAGCGGGTCCAAAGCAATTTCGGGTACAGCAGTCATTTTCTTCCACTGCGAAGTACACCCTCTGTCCAAGACTGTTCTTGATTTCATACTTGTTATTAGTTTCAAAGCCTGTTAAGACTAAAAACACAAAGGAGGAAATCATAATCATCATTGTGTTAAGAATGTGGACTCTACCTAAGATGTTATCATATCCAGCTAGAGCAATTTGGGAAGATATCCCAGGTAGTTCAGGAAAGAGGGAAAAGATGTTTAGCAGTGAACCAGACCAATAAAAGAAAACAAGGCGAAAGGAGGAGGAGGGAAGTATCTTAAATATGAAAAACTGAATCTTTAGGAGAAATGGAGTAATGGAAATAAGTGGTGTTAGCAAATGCCACAGGTTCTGTCATAATGGGAGGCTCTGCTGCTCAGGGTGGGTGCAGTGCTGGAGGTGGGCATAGGGGTGCTCAGTACTCAAGTATTATGGAGGGGTTATAGGATGTTGGCTGTGTTTGTATTCTATGAACTACTTTATTAAATCAATTGGGTTAAGATTTTGTGTTATAAATGATACTTAGGTCTTAGCTTTTACACTTTGAGCAAAAGGAACGAGAGGGGTGATCTTGATGCAATCATGTACAAAAGGACAAAGTGGGAATAGAATGTGAATCAGAACATCACATCACGTAGGGTCAGTGCACCTTGGTTAGCTCAGCAGTTGTTATTAAGCAGGTGAGGCTGGGTATTGGACAAGTGGGGAGAGGCCTGGTAACCAGGGCTCAAACTCATAGACTCTCTAGACCATGTGCATCCAAAGTGAGCTCTACACCTTTAGGGTGCTAAACTCTTCATGAGGGAAAACAGAGGGATATATTGCCTCACCAGTGCCCCCTCATATTGATCCACACGCTGGAAACCTCTGTTTTTACAGAGCCGAGAAGGAACAGCTAATGTTCCCTTATCCACAGCCCTAGAATACTCGGGTCACAGTATGTCAGAAGACTGACCAAAACAAAAAGTGATTAAAAGAAATACATGGAGGCCCAAATAACTCTCTCAGGTCTGTGTGGAAGGACTTCATGAGGATAGAGAGACATCAGTCAAAAGTTCTATCAACACGGAGCTGGGGATGTGGCTCAAGCAGTAGTGCGCCAGCCTGGCATGCATGCGGCCTGGGGTCGATCCTCAGCACCACATACAAACAAAGATGTTGTATCCACCAATAACTGATATTAAAAAATTCTCTCCCTCTCTCTCTCTTTAAAAAAAAAAAAGATATTGGGGCTGGGGATGTGGCTCCAGCGGTAGCGCACTCGCCTGGCATGCATCTGGGGCTGGGTTGGATCCTCAGCACCACATACAAATAAAGATGTTGTGTCTGCCAAAAACTAAAAATAAATATTAAAAATTCTCTCTCTCTCTAAAAAAAATAAAAATACAAATAAATAAAAAATAAATAAATAAATAAAGTTCTATCAATACGAACTTCCTCAAGTGTCTTTGGTGGGATTCAGAGTCCCGCCCATCTGCCGTAGCCAAATATTTAGAGGGGAAAAAAGTTAAAGTGGCTTTGAGAGGACATTTATTTTTCACTAATTGCTTCATTAATACTTTAATCTCAGAAATCTTCAACTTCTTTATTTGTTAAATAGCATGGGTTTATATAATCAATGATTTTCCTTAAAAAGATGAAAATAAAATAATTTCATGTTTTTGTGTTTCCTTTCTGATAAGTTTTGAATTGAGGAAAAATGTGAGTGCCTAATTTACTGAAAGAAACTGAGAAATCATGTTATTCACATAATTCATAATATGAAAAAAATATTATTGACTTTACACATTGGGCAAAAAAAAAGAGAGAAAGAGAAAATTAAGGACTACCTTTTTAAAAATTTTTTTTGGAGGGACTGGGGATTGAATCCAGTGGTGCTTAACCACTAGCCAGCTCTTTTTATTTTTATTTTTTGAGATCGTCTTGCTAAGTTGCTTTGTCCTTGCTAGTGCTGACACTGACCTAAACTGAAGAATTAAATACTAGTAAATTTAAAAATTACATTTCATGATGAAACTACATAACATATTCTCAAATATTTAAAATGCTTATAAATCTAAAAAGAGATAAGTTTATATGCTATGGAATATATGGTGTCTGGCTATGAGGATTTTATAACTTAAATGACATATACCACAGAATAAAATATTTTCAAAATGTAAAACAATAAAAGACTCCCTGTTAAGGGCCTGGCATGGTGGCACATGCCTGTAATCCCAGTGGCTCAGGGGGTTGAGGCAGGAGGATTGTAAGTTCCAAGCCAGCCTCAGCAAAACTGAGGTATACTAAGCAACTCAGTGAGAACTTATCTCTAAATAAAATACAAAATAGGCCTAGGATGTGGCTTTGTGGTTAAGTGCCACTGAGTTCAATCCCTGGTGCAAAAGAAAAAAAAAAGAACTCCCTTTTAGAGTAATGTTAAAAGACACTAATCAAAATGATGAATAATACAAACATCTAATAATTGACATTATTAACATCTTAAATGTCATAGGTGACAATTGTGTAATTTCATAAAATCCATTACCCTGCTTACACAGTTTATATTCACCCTTGGAAAGGAACTTTGCAAAAGATGGGGTTTAACAGATGTATTCTACAAACAAGCCAAGTTTCTATTATTCCCTGGTATCTGGAATAATGGTTCCTATATCTCCCTGAGTGTCATTCCCTCGTAGCTTCCCTGAAGGATCTAGTGACTTCCCAGGTTTATTCCTGCATCTGGAAGCCCTGGACCTTTGGAAGCACTTGGAGGCCCACTCTGGAGCAGCAATACTCTTGCAGAAGAGGCCTCCAGAGCAGCAGTGCCCCAGTGGCCCTAAACCCCAGGAGGTAACACACAGCTCACGGAATGCACATTCCACAAGGTTCGTCTGATTTCCCAAGAGAAACCGTGGGCATGAATGATAATTTTGTAAAACATCCCCATCTTGCTGAGTGTGGTGGCACATACTTGTAATCTCAGCAATTTGGGAGACTGAGGCAGGAGGATCTCAAATTTGAGACCAGCTTCAGCCACTTAGTGAGAATCTCAGCAATTTGGTGAGACCCTGTTTCAAAATAAAGAAGAAAAAAAATCTGTAGCAGGAAGAATGGAGATATAGTTCAGAGGTAAAATGCACCTGGCTTTAATATCCAGTAGCAAAATCATCCGCCTCTGAATCCAGAGATCACTTGCTTTGGAGATGTACTAAGGCAGCTGAATGTGACTCTGTCGCCTTCTCAAGGTGATCTCAAGTTGGGAGAAAAGTGCTCAAGTGGTAAAAGTCCAGTAAAATGCTAAAAAACTTTTAGTGATTTGAAAAGAGAGAGGAGTAAAAGTAAGTCTCGATAGTTTCCTTGTAATATTTGTATCTAATATCTATATCATAAGGATATATACCCACTATACTCATATTTACCATTTGACTAATTTTCAGAAATGAATTGCTGATAATGTACATGATGAATTATGATAAAATTTCAAACAGACATTTAAAAATAACCTGTTTAACTGTTTCACATGATTGAGAGTACTACCTTTGCAGTGTCTGATAATGCTTTTATCTGCATAAATCTAGAAATATGATGGATACAATGAATACACACCTTCTAGAAGCTCAATTTGCTGATGAACCAGAATCTGATCTATCTGTTATAGGAAAAAAAAAAATTCACATAGTCAATTGTCAAAATTTAATGTTATCAATGTTTAATAGTTTATATTACTGGTTAGTACAAAACTAAAGTTCACATTTTTTATTGGCGAAATATTTGTTGAAAATTTTCACCATTAATCTGGGAAACTTTAGACCAAATAAAACTATCTTACACTGAAATTAAAAACAACAACAACAACAAAAATACCTATAGTTTTTTGAGGAAGAGCTCAAGAGAGGTATGGATAATTTTTTAATCATTTAAAAGGGTTCTTTATCTGTCAAGTTTCAAAAATTGTAAGTGTAATATCATCAGTTGTAGTCACTAATAATTTCATCTATGTATTTTATGAGATCCTGATTTTTAAAATATGTGTTTCAGAATTTTTTGAAAAAATATGACAATGACCAAAAAATTCCTATGGTATGTGCTGCTTGAAAACATTATGAAAAATTAAATTATTACAGTGTGAGCCTGAGGGACCCCTGACTTACTGAGCAGTGGCTAGACATGGTAAGAATACTGGTTCTCAAGTGTATAGACACTGAACACTCAGCCCTTCATGTTCCTATTTCACCCAGCTGATGTCTCACATTAAACTATGTTC